CCTGAAGGGGACAAGTTAAGAGATATACTGCTACACTGGTTCGTGAACTTTTGTCAAACCTTAGTGGCCTTGAATCTTTTTAAGGAAAGTGAGATACCCGCGCCTCAGCCTAATTGTCTATGTACTTCTTAGAAGAATATTACAATTTTTTTTTTTTTTTCCCAACACTTGACATATACTAGCATTAGTTTTCGAGGTCCTAAATTTTGTGTTTCCAGTTTTGCATGCAAACACTGCATGTGAGTTTCAACTCAAAGGACTAATAAGCCTTTTATTCCTCATTTTCCTTTGTGCATGTGAAAGGAAAGGAGGAGGAAGCTCAACATGTGTTGCTGAAATATGCAAATTAGCTAGAAGATGGTGATAATATTTTTTCCTACTTAGTATTGGATTCCAATTATTAAGCAATTAGACTTGCTCAAAGTCTAAACTAAAACATTGAACGGACCATGGGACTAGCTGACTCCGTACAGTTTGAACCTTTGCATCTATTTATTCTTCATCATTTCATTTGCTTCAAAAAAAAAAGAAAAAACAAAAATCAAACATTTTGTGGTAGATATTTAATTACTTGGAAAATAGCACTGATCGACCTGCATACATTCCTGAAATTTCCAGGTAAAAGTCCAAAACCCATAGAAAATACAAGTCAAGCAATTGGCAAAGACTTAACATGCCCATGTCACCATTCTCTCATGACTTTAAGCCAAAACCGCGTGGGCCCATTTCGTTTGTGGGGTCCGGTTCCCCACATAACTCTAATTTCTAAAGACTGATAATTGGAGACTTGGTCAAGTGGGTCCGACACCCCGAAGGCTTCTCCATCAACCAACATACGAAATCATTTGTGTGTGTTGGGGGGGGGGGGGGTGTGGTGGTGCACCTCCCATCCCTTATAAATATTCTGTAAAAGTGTATATGTCTTCAGTGCACTAAACATTCATTCTCTGAATTACACTAGTTGCATCTCCAATGGCAGCCAACACCATAAATCCTGATCATGAAATGACTCCGGAATTCGAACTTCCGGGATTTCGGTTCCATCCAACAGAAGAAGAACTTCTTGAATTCTACCTTAAAAACATGGTTTTTGGCAAGAGGTTGCGTTTTGATATAATTGGATTCCTCAATATCTACCATCATGACCCTTGGGACTTACCTGGTACGTACAAACATTTTTGCTCATGCATATATACTGTCTGAATTTTATTGATCAGGGCATGGTTGTGATGTGTAATTAATTAATGGGTGCTAATTATCTTATACAGGGTTGTCAAAGATCGGAGAAAGGGAGTGGTATTTTTTTGTGCCAAGGGACAGGAAGCATGGCAGTGGAGGAAGGCCTAACAGAACCACTGAAACTGGGTTTTGGAAAGCCACCGGCTCTGACCGCAAGATCGTGAGCCTCTCGGAGCCAAAGAGGATCATAGGGTTGAGAAAGACACTTGTTTTTTACAAAGGGAGAGCCCCAAGAGGAAGCAAGACTGATTGGGTCATGAACGAGTATCGTTTGCCTGATAACTGCCAGTATCTCAAGGTAATTACTTGTTAATGCCACTTAATTTTTTTAATCGAGTATCTAATACCTGTTAATTTTCTCGCTATCTTTTCCGAAGTTTGAACATGCTTTAGGGGGAGTTAGAAAGTCTTCTAACTAAGTCTTGTAATTCCTTGTTCATTGGTGTTTAGCAAGGAGTCCCCAAGCATAGAAGTGTCTTAATCCTTCTATCTCCATTCACTTAAATTTGAAAAAAAAAAAAAAATGAAAAGTCCTTTTGTAGTTTTCATGCAAACTACAAAAAAAGTTTATATGTATTTATTTTCTCAATCATTGAGTGTTTTTGCTCGATGAATATTTTGTGAGTCTGTATTTTATGAAAAATTACAATTGTGGTAAAAGTAACGCAACAAATAATGTGCACTTAAGAAATTTGGTCACTTTTAACTGAGTGAAACTTGCAACCTGATATATAATCCGAGTCTCAATTACTAATCATTTACAGTGCTCAAAACTAAATTGATAGTTTCACCTTCACATTTAAGGAATCTTGATTACGTAGTTTCATAGGTCAATTCTTGGATAGCAATCTAATGAAACTCTCTCTTTTTCTATTTGTAAACTCAGGATATTGTACTATGCAAGATATATAGAAAGGCAACATCCTTGAAAGTGCTAGAGCAAAGGGCAGCAATGGAGGAAAATCAGATAAAGGAATTTCATGCTTCCCCTAACTCATCATCTCCTCCAACATCCATGGAGACCATCTCATTTGGCAGCCAAGCAATACAGGAAGCTCTGACGCCACAAATTCCCACAAAGCATGTAGTATTCAAGCAAGAAGTGGAAGATGCAACTCTAGTGGTAGCACAAGAGCAAAAGGGTGAGAATGCAATGGAGATTAAAGGGTCTCCTCATCCCATATACAATTTACCAGAACTCCAAGTGCCTAAATTTAGCATGGACTGGACCCAAGACACAGTTTGGACCCAAATGAGTAGCCCTTGGCTTCAAAACTTGACCCCTTTGGCCAACATTCTCAACTTCTAGTTGCTTCGATGTTTTAGGATAAAATAAAGTTTGAGCTTTGTTAACCTAGACGAAAAGCCATTAGCCCTCATTTAGTCTTTAATTGGTCATCTAAACCTAAATGCGGAAAGACATAAAATTCGGATCCAAACATTCTTGTAGATAAATTTTGTTCACATTTTAGGACGTCTGGTCATGCCTCACCTTGTAAGTTATCAAGTGTCTGCTGTTCTAGTTAAGGAACAGCTTCTTCTCTAGTTTATCTTTTTCCATTCTTGTTTTTTTTTTTTTCTTTTGAGGGAGGGTGAGATGGCATGTACCTTTTTTTTTTTTTTTTTTTGATCCAGTATGTTATCTAGTATCCATACACACATAATGTAATGGACCCTAATGGTAGGTAGGAGAGGTTTCATGGACAAATGGGCCGGCACATAAGGCAATAAATAAATTTTATTTTGTTTCACTTTGAGCTTTTCTGTTTTTCTTTTGGGAAATGAGCAATAATGACACCAATGCAATGTACTCTTACAAAAATTACACCAAGTGATAATAGCTACAAAAATGACCCCCTTTGAATAGTTTTGGACGCAGAAATAAGAGATTATCCGTTAATTTTTATTCTTATTTTTAGAGAGGTAGTTAAATCTTTTTTGTTTTTTTATTGACGACACAACATTGACATAACAAGAAAATAACGATGATACAATGACAACATAATAAACCTATTTTGCACATTTTGTTGTAGGTTTCCAACTCTCTTTCTTGAGATGATTCTTTTTAATAGAGTAATGATGGGTAGACCAATTTTTTAAACCAAATTTGTAAACTAAATAGTGTCACTAATAAGAAATAAGCACATTAATCAACACTTAAGTAATAATCATATAACGTTGGCATAACCAGAAAGCAACGATGATATAATGGCATAATGAGAAAACAACGATGATATAATGACGACATAATAAACATATTTTCACATTTTGTTGCATGTTTCCAGCTCTCTTTCTTGAGATGATTATTTTTAGAGGTATTCATCAATTTCCCCTCTGAACTTGTGACCATTGGCCAATTTCCCCCCTCAACTTTAATTTTGGTCAATTTCCTCCCTCAACTCTCATAATTAGTCAATTTCCCCCCTCAACTTTAATTTGGCCAATTTCCCCCCTCAACTCTCAAAATTAGTCAATTTGCACCCTATTGTTAATTTTTTTTTTTAAAATTTTCCATCTATTCTTTTCTTAATTTTCAATCTTTCTAATAAATTCCAACAAAGTACTAAAATTAACATAAACTCACCCGCATAATATAGGGTAAAATGTACAAAAACATAATACAGTTAGTATGTGATATGGGTTGATTATAAGAAAAAGTTATGAATCGGGTTTAAAGCATGTAGAAGAAGAAATAATAAAAAAAAGAAATAATAATCCTAAACTCATGGATCAGACCTATTTCAATAAAATGGGTTATTCTTAATAAGGAGTCAAAAAATATGAATTGATTAGCCATTTTTCACTAAAGCTCGATTCTCTGCAATTTACTTGAACTTAGCTTTCACTTTTATAACGAAAATTGTATTCACATACAAAAATTTACACATCAATCCTTTTTGTTATCAATTTTGTATAGTCAAAAATCAAATAAAATTACTCCATACTGATTTATTATGACTAATAATACTATCTATGATAAATTGTAAAATTCTAAATTTTAATCTATTTGTAATAGGATAAAGATATAGGAACATGATTAACATACATCTTATTTAGTTTCTTACACACACTTGTTTAATTATGATCAAATTAAAAAAATTAACAGTAGGGTGCAAATTGACTAATTATAAGAGTTGAGGGGGGAAATTGGCTAAATTAAAGTTGAGAGGGGAAATTGACTAATTATGAGAGTTGAGGGGAGAAATTGGCCAAAATTAAAGTTGAGGGAGGAAATTGGCTAATGGTCACAAGTTCAGGGGGGAAATTGATGAATACCTCTTATTTTTAATAGGGTATTGCTAGGCAGATCAAAATTTTAAACCAAATTTGTAAACCAAATAATATGTCACCAATAAGAAATAAACACATTAATCAACTCAACACTTAAGTAATAATCCAATCATCAACAATCACATCATTTAGTTTACAAAATTTGGTCTCCGTAGCATTACGTTTTTTAATATTTGTAACTGCATTGATGACTAGTGTGTCCTAATATTATTTTTGCAACAGAGAAAATTATTACTTATTATTAACTTAGAAAATTCAATCGAGTTTAATTAGTGCTATCCAGAAAGCCCCCGAAATTATCATCAAAGAATATCACTGCTCTGCAATTTAAGTAGGAGAAGGTAAAAATTTACTCAATAAACTGTATCAATTTGATATCAGATGATGTACATCTACATGTATTTCATGTGCAAAATTTAATATCTAATTCTAGTGGTTAAGGGTGTTGAGGAATGAGACTCTGGTTTTGATCAACTGCCTAAATAGGCTTTAAAGTCGTTCTTTGTGATCTTGAATGCATGACTCCAGATTTTCAAGCTGGTTTTGGGGATCAAATTTGCTTGTCTTGAGTGCAGCATCCACTTTACTTCTGTTTCTTCCTTACAAGCTACTTTTGTCAAGTGCATCATCTTGGAGACCAATGACCAGCTGCTTGGCTTTGACTTTGGCCCGGAGATGAAGGACAGTACTGATTCAAGCACCATAATGGTGACTGTTTCGACATCTCTCAACTTAATAACAATGTCAATAGTCTCTTGGTCCTTGTTGAGGGAAGATAAGGTGGATCGGTTTTTAATGCCCTTTAGATCCTTCAAAGCCTTTTGAATTGCCCTATTCAAAATCTTCCTGGAGCTTAAGTATTTGTTAACGTCACTTGTGAGGGCTCCAGATTCACCTCCTCGTGTTCTTCGTATAATTGATTGAAGATCCAATATGCATTCCTTGGTTTGCAAGACGGCATCCTTGGCAATGGCACAAACATCCAACAGTCTGATAGAGCCATCTAATAGCTCATTAGTGTATTTCTCATTCTGCTCTTGGGCTAAGGCTTGTTGATTGAGGGGCAACTGAAGCAGCCTATCAACACAATCTTGCAAATCTTGTAAACCATTTAGCTTGTGGCTGATGGATGATGAAGATGTAGAGGTGGCCTCAGAAGACCTCAATCTGCACAAAAGTTCATCAACTTCTTGAGCGATCGGGTGTGGCCTTGAGGGGAAGCTGTTAGAGCGAGTGTGGAAAGCCATTTCTTCTGTGTGATTTGAGAAATTGAGAGAAAATAGAAGAGAAGACCTTGTAGTTAATGTACAATTGTGATGGATGAGTTTCTTTGCATGTGCATATGCTTCATATATGGTGTTGGTTGAAGAAGGGGACATGGAATCTCATCCGCTACAATCACCAGCCAAAAGGGTAACATGATCTAGATTGGATCTATATGTTTCGCTATGAAATGCCTATGCAATGTCTCTCCCTACTCCAGCATTCCAACTCATGATGTGATTTATTTAACATGTATAATCTTAGAGTATCAATATTATAATGTAATTAAGCATTCATTAATTAACATCTAACACATGGAACGTTCTAGCTAGCCATCCTGCTTATATGCTTAATTTAAATAAAAAATAATTTGTGGTGATCAATGAATGTGATTAGTAGTTCATCTTATTTTAGAGGTCCCTGATATGATTGCTGCACACAGAGCAGGCAAGATCTGCAATCTGTATTAATTTTTTACGCTGCATTGTGTTTCTATAATGTAGGAAAATGGTTGTTGCCAGATTAGTTAGGCGATGTCCATGCTATGTCTCCCCATCATTTGTCTATCAACTCATTTTAAATCACTAAGCATCTGAACCTTAGGATGACGCTGCATGGTATTTATATTCAGGTTGCACCTTTTCCTCACACAAGAAAAAGCAATACCTATTATTCTTTTTTTTATTTTTTTTTCTCCTGTTACATGCAATAGCAATAATGGGATGAGGGATTTGGGTTATTTAAGTCACATAGTGAACCAATTATAATAATTAGGTATCGAAATGTCATTCACGTGAATTGAATATGTGACCTTGCAAGAACTTTCAAAAAAATCGTGCTATTTTCTATATTGCCAATTAGTTTTATGGTGAAACCTCAACTTCCTCAACCTCTCACTCATAAGTGAAGAAGAATATCCAGAATTTTAAAGTTAGATAATGCTGAAATTGGGGATCCTTCACTATAAAATCAATTGACAATATGAGGAGTAGCCCAAAACCATCTAAGCCCTTAGCTAAGTCAATTCCTCACTGATGTGGGACAAATGTCCACACATCAACTCTCAACACACCCCGCATGTGTGGTCGATTTTCAAGCCTACACGTGGACAACAACTGGGTGATGCATGTGTGGCCCCTTAGGCTTTTACACGAGGGACAACTTGCTATGATACCATGATCATGAAGAAAGTTGAGGTTCCACCATAAAACTAATTGACAATATGGAGAGTAGTCCAACTATTTATAAGCATATGCAAATTCCCTCATCTCATTAATGTGGGATTCACTCTCAACATGTTGATGAACTTTCAAACATAACACGTGGACAACACAACGAGGGTGACGTGGAGCGCGTATGGCTATTGGGCTTCACACACGGGACAACCTACTTTGATACAATAAAGAAAGTTGAGGTTTCACCATAAAACCAATTGACAATATGGAGAGTAGTCCAACCATACTTATAAGCACATGCAAGGTCGATCATCTCATCAATGTGGGATTTACTCTCAATAGATGAAATTAGATTTCACCATAAAACTAATTACCTTTATAAGAAATAGTCCAAGACCATATATATAAGCCCATATCTAAGTCAATCCCTCTGCGATATGGGATAAATTGTCCACACATCATCAACTCTCAACAGAAAACGAAGCATCAGTTTGGTTTTTTGATCTCCTCCCTAAATTTTAGCTAAATAGCTTATTTAAAGAGCCCATTAAAAATGTTCTAAGGTAGCCATAACTATTATTGTTACTTAAACGTGTTTGTTGTGACTATTTAGTGTATAAATCTTTCAGTTTAGTATTTTAGGAGCTGTAGGGATCATTTTCTCTGGACAACAGGAATCGGATTCCGAGTCTTTGCAGTTAGATTTTATGCATTTATTCGCATATCACTATATCTCCACATTATAATATTATAATGACTTAGGACACGACACGTAGGCTACAATTTAATTTGTTCAACTTCAAGTGCAATTAAGTTTTTCAAACTGACGTTAACATTCTTGCTGTACGGTATTTTAATGGTAAATGGACGTACTTTCTTGCCATTATAATTGTGGAGACGTAACGAAATGCGAATAAATGTACAAAGCCTAAAAGTATGTATTTGGGATCCCAACTTGGTGATCAAATCACTTGTGGCGCGTCCAGAGGGTTTATTTTAATGACTAATGTGACCTTACATTCGATCTGTTGAGATTTAAGCTGCATACAAGCTTAATATCGAACTGCAGATGACAATCCTGCAAAAAGAAGTGAAGAGGATTCTGAAATCGAAGAGGTGAAAAACTTGCTATTTTTAGCAAGTAGCCGTTAGGTTCAAATGTGCAACGGCTAGGTTTCTGTTTTTAGAATGTTTACAGCTGGGTTCTTATCAGTTTTAAAACTGTACGTTGTATTCTCATCTTCTTCCAAGTGGATGGATGATATCCTCCAATGTCCATTAATGGCTGGAGAAGAGTTCCTAGGCTTCTAGAGTGTAGGTTCTGTTTTTGATCAGAAAAAGGAGTGTATAGTCCTTGTTATCTTTATGTTTGTTATAATGAAAAAAGACAGACTTTTGACTCCTCATCTCCCTCTCTCGAAGAACCTCAGTTTTTCTTAAAATCTATTACTCAAAGATTCAATCTTTAACGAAGATTATTAATCAAAAACACCATGCCTGGTACCATTTCAAACATGGTATCAGAGCAACTGGTCTGATTCCGAAGAGGGGCGTAAATCTGTGAGAGAAGTTCTTCCTAGAAAAAAGGTCTTAAAAGGGATAAAGGTGGTTCCTTTATTGGTTGATTCACTGATACTCACTAAGAAAATGGTGGGATCAGGTTCTTCTGGTGGAGATTTACGAACTCCACAGTTTGATGGTGCAAACTACGACTTTTGGGCTATCAAGATGGAGACTATCCTCATAGCGCATGATCTATGGGATGTAGTGGAACTTAGTGTGCAAATGCAGCAGATTTCCGAAGAGGAAGAAGGTTCTGGAGAGGAGGGTAGTGAGGCTGAGCAAATTCCAGTGGAACCACCCACCATCTCCAGAGAAGACATAATCAAAAACGCCAAGGCGTTGAGTCTCATACAAGGAGCTATAACAGATGAACTTTTTCCTCGTATCAGAAATGAGAAGACTACAAAAGGGGCTTGGGACATCCTGAGAAGAGAGTTCAGAGGAGATAAAAAGGTAAGAGCTGTAAAACTTCAAGCAGTTAGGGCTGATTTTGAGTATATGAGAATGACAGATAGTGAAAACCTAGATGACTATTTGGGTAGGTTTTTTGGAATTGTGAATAATCTGAAGTCTCTTGGTGAAGATGTGACTGAACAAAGAATTGTGCAGAAATTATTGATGAGTCTAAGTAGGAGGTATAAATCCATTGTTTCTATTATTGAGGAAACTCGAGATTTGGATGCTATTAAAGTGGAAGAAGTCATTGCATCTGTCAAAGTATATGATAAAAGGGAAGACTTACATGATGAAAGGGATAGATTGACAGGAACTGAGAGGGCTTTTAGTAGTCTCAGAGTTGGAAACAATCAAGTCACTGGCACCTACAAAGGTTCTCAGAGTAGGCCAAATCAAAAGTGGCAGGGACAAAACAAGAAGGGATCAAACTGGTCTTCGAGTGGGAACTGGAGCAATAATCCTGGAGGAAATTGGAATAACAGATTCAATTCACATAACAAGCAAGGGAGCAGTAGTCAAAGTTCTGTGAAACCACAGTGTCAAGTGTGCCAGAAATATCATTTTGGGGTGTGCAGATACAAAGGAAAACCAAAATGTGGAAAATGCAATCGTTTTGGTCATATTGCAAAGGACTGTGATGGTCACAAGCAAGTTGCTTACTGTGCAAAGGAAGAAGAAGTAACTACAGGAACCATGTTTTATGCTTGTCACTCATCAACTATGCAAGATAGAAGTGTGTGGTTTGTGGACTGTGCTTGCAGCAACCACATGACATCACAAGAGTCTACCTTAATAAACCTTGACAGATCTGTGACTTGTAAAGTTAAAATGGGCACTGGTGATCTTGTACAAGCAACTGGAAAAGGCACTTTAGTGGTTGAAACTCAGCGTGGGAAAAGATATATAAATGAAGTATTGCTGGTTCCTGGTTTGGATGAAAACTTACTAAGTGTAGGCCAAATGATGGAGCATGGCTACTATGTCCTATTTGGGGGTAATATGGCAGTGATCTTTGATGACAGCAGTCTTAACAATGTTGTAGCAAAAGTAATCATGGTAGGAAATCGATGTTTTCCTCTTTCACTGGAATCCATAACTCCTGTTGCAAGAAAAGCATCTATGGTTGAAGATTCATGGATATGGCACAGAAGGCTTGGACATTTGAACTTTAACAGCATGAAAAAGATGCAGCAGAAGGAAATGGTGGTTAGACTACCTGTTTTGACATAAATGAGAGATGTGTGTGAAGGTTGTGTATCAGGCAAGCATCACAGAGAATCTTTTGACAAAGGAAAAGCATGGAGAGCAAGCTGCCACTTGAATTAGTGCATACAGATTTGTGTGGACCTATGCAAAATGAGTCCATTGGAGGAAATAGGTACTTCATCACATTCATTGATGATTTTTCAAGAATGTGTTGGGTATACTTTCTCAGAAACAAATCTGATACCTTCAATGTGTTAAAAAAATTCAAAGTTTTTGTTGAACTGCAAAGTGGGTTCAATTTAAAGAAGCTAAGGAGTGATAGAGGTGGTGAATACACCTTACATGAGTTTCTAGATTACTGTGCAAGCATGGGAATGGAGAGGCAACTGACTATTGCTTACTCTCCTTAGCAAAATGGAGTTGCTGAGAGGAAGAATAGATCGATTGGTGAGATGGCAAGGTCTATGATGGTTGAGAAAGAAATGCTTGTAGAATTCTGGGCAGAAGCTGTAAACACAGCAATGTACCTTCAAAATAGATGTTTTACAACATCTGTTCTAGATAAAACTCCTTTTGAAGCATTCACAGGTAGGAAGCCTGGAATCAAGCACCTGAAAGTCTTTGGTTGTGTCTGCTATACTCATGTCTCGTCACATTTGAGGCACAAATTTGATGAGAAATCCAGGAAAGGAGTCTTCATGGGGTATGGGAGCTGTGAAAAAGGATATAGAGTGTATGATCTGCAATCTAAGAAGATAGTACTCTCAAGAAGTGTAATTTTTAGTGAAAACCAGTCATGGAATTGGAAAAATGATCAAGTGGAGCCTACCTCAACTCATTTCAATCTTGAAGGATTTGACTATGAAGAAGAAGTTAGAGAGGAACAAACTGATGAAGTCCAGTATAACAATGCTGAAATTCTCATTCAAACACTATTGCTCATGAGTCAGTTGAGGACAATGGTGGAAATCACAGTCAAGGCTCCACACCAAGCTCCACTCCAGTGAAGTTGAAAACTCTAGAAGATATACATGCAAGGTGTCACATGTGCATTATAGAACCTGAAACGTATCAAGAAGGAGCAAGTGATTTAGCTTGGCAAGAAGCTATGAATGCAGAATTGGAAATGATTGAGAAGAACAATACTTGGGAACTTGTTGAGAGACCTGTTGATAAACCTGTTATAGGTGTGAAATGGGTGTTTAAGACTAAATTGAATCTGGATGGAACAGTTCAAAAACACAAAGCCAGGCTTGTAGCCAAGGGATATGCATAGAAACCAGGGATTGACTACAATGAAACCTTTGCACCTGTGGTAAGGTTAGATACAATTCGAACCCTCATTGCTTTAGCAGCACAAAAGGGTTGGAAGTTGTTTCAGCTGGATGTTAAATCTGCATTTTTGAATGGTGTGCTTGATGAAGAAGTGTATGTTGAGCAGCCTGAAGGTTTTGAGTTGAAAAATGCAGGTCAAAAGGTCTATAAGTTAAGGAAGGCCTTATATGGACTTAAACAGGTACCTAGAGCCTGGTACAGTGAAATTGATGCTTATCTCTCTCTGTGTAAATTCAAAAGAAGTACAAGTGAAGCCACCCTATACACAAGATCTGATAATGAAGGAGGGTTGATAATTGTCTCAATATATGTTGATGACATTATCTATACTGGAAGCAGTGACAAGATGATTTGTGAGTTCAAAAGGGAAATGATGCAGAAATATGAAATGTCAGATCTTGGTCTCCTACATCACTTCCTTGGTATGGGGATATTACAAACTGATCAAGGTGTATTTATTCACCAAAGTAAGTATGCCAAGTCATTACTTGAGAAATTTGGGCTTGAAGATTGCAAACCAGTGTCTATTCCTTTATCTACTGGTGAAAAACTTAAAAAAGTGGATGGGAGTGAGTTGGCAGATGAAGAGAAATAGTGGGAAGCTTGCTGTACTTAACAGCAACTAGACTTGATCTTATGTATGCTGTAAGTCTGTTATCAAGGTTTATGAATGGTCCGACTAAGAAGCATCTTGGAGTTGCAAGAAGGGTACTGAGATATGTGCAAGGGACCCTAAACTATGGCATTGAGTATGTGAAAGATAAGTCTGCAATCCTCATTGGTTTATGTGATGCAGATTGGGCAGGCAGTGAAGATGATAGCAGAAGCACCTCTGGCTATGCTTTCAGTTTTGGCAGTGGGGTATTCTCTTGGGCTTCTGTGAAACAAAACATAGTTGCACAGTCAACCGCTGAAGCTGAGTATGTTTCAGCAGCTAAGGCAACTGCACAGTCAATTTGGTTGAGATTTGTTCTTGATGATTTTAGGGAAATGCAAACTAAGGCAACACCTTTATTTTGTGACAATATGTCAGCAATTTCTATGGTAAAAAAATCCTGTATTCCATCAGAGAACTAGACACATAAACAGGCGGTATCATTTCATAAGGGAAGCTCTGCAAGAAGGGATGATCAATGTGCAGTTCTGCAGAAGTGAAGAACAACTTGCAGACATATTTACAAAAGCTTTGCCAAAAGATAGATTTAATCAGTTGAGATTGAGACTTGGAGTTAAGTCAGTAAGCAGCTTAGGAGAGGCTGTTGAGATTTAAGCTGCATACAAGCTTAATATCGAACTGCAGATGACAATCCTGCAGAAAAAAGTGAAGAGGATTCTGAAATCGAAGAGGTGAAGAACTTGCTATTTTTAGCAAGTAGCCGTTAGGTTCAAATGTGCAACGGCTAGGTTTCTGTTTTTAGAATGTTTACAACTGGGTTTTTATCAGTTTTAAAACTGTACGTTGTATTCCCATCTTCTTCCAAGTGGATGGATGATATCCTCCAATGTCCATTAATGGCTGGAGAAGAGTTCCTAGGCCTCTAGAGTGTAGGTTCTGTTTTTGATCAGAAAAAGGAGTGATATAGTCCTTGTTATCTTTATGTTTGTTATAATGAAAAAAGACAGACTTTTGACTCCTCATCTCCCTCTCTCGAAGAACCTCAGTTTTTCTTAAAATCTATTACTCAAAGATTCAATCTTTAACGAAGATTATTAATCAAAAACACCATGCCTGGTACCATTTCAAACATGATCTTCAAATTGTGCTAGTTAAGTTGCTTAATACTGTTCACGTAAGAAAATTTAAAACCTAATTCTAGTGATGTAGGATGTTGAGGAGGGAAACTTTTGTTTTTTTTTATTTTTTATTTTTTATCAATAAAAATTTGGTGAACGAATATGATAATTCTTTTTGGACAACAAGAATCTTGATAGCTGTGAAATCTGATATTTACTCTGCTTGCTGCTCAAAATCACATGCCGTGTCCAGCTCTCTTTCTTAGATGTTTTTTTCTTTAATTTTTAATTTTTGTTACCGCTTGATGATACTGTGGTCAAATTTCCAGTCTTGAAATCATATAGGGTTCTAGTTCACTCATGGATAAACAGAGAAAATTACTAATCATTGTTAAATCAGAAAATTCTATTGGATTTGATTAGTGCAATTCTGAAAATCCCATAAAATTATCATCAAAGATTGTTGTTCTGCAATAGTTTCTTAAATAGCGAGAAAGTAGATATTTACTCAATAGACTCTCAATTTCATTTCAAATTATGTAATGTATATAAGTATACTTTTCATGTACAAAATTTAGGATCTAAATCTAGTGGTTTAGGATGTTGAGGAGGGAGACTCTTATTTTGATCAACTGTCTAAATAGGCACTCAAGCCCTTCTTCCTGATCTTGAATGCACGACTCTAGCTTCTCAAGCTGGTTTTGCGCGTTATCGGCACTTTTGTGTAGTGCAGCATCCACCTGTGAAAATTCATTCACTTCTGTCTCTATCTCACAAGCCGCTTTTTTTGACTGCATCATCTTTGAGACCAATGACCGTGATTTTGGCCCTGAGATGAATGACATTAGCGATTCAAATACTTCGCGAGTGACTGCTTCAACGTCTCTCAACTTGCTAACGATGGCAATTGTCTCCTCGTCCTTGTTGGGGGAAGAGAATGCTGATCTATTTTTCATCCCCTTCAGATTTACCATAGCCTTGTGGATTGCCTTCTTCACCATCTTCCTGGAGGTCAAGTATTTTGTGACCTCACTTGTAAGTGCAGATTCACCTCCCCGCCTTCTGATGATGGATTGAAGATCCTGCACGCATTCCTTGGTTTGCGACAGGGTATCCTTGACAGTGGCACAAACATCCAAGAGTCTGACAGAGCCATCTAATAACTCATTAGTCCATTTCTCATTCTGCTCTTGGGCTAATGATTGTTGGGTGAGGGGCAACTGAAGCAACTTCTCAACACAATCATGCAAGTCTTTGAGGTTACTTAGCTTGTGGCTGATTGATGATGATGTGGAGGTGGATTCAGAAGACCTCAATCTGCACAAAAGTTCATAAACTTCTTCAACGATCGGGTGTGGCCTTGACGGGAAGCTGTTAGATCGAGTGTGGAATGCCATTTCGTCTTTGTGATTTGAGAAAAGATAGAAGAGAAGACCTTCTAGCGAATTTACAATTGTGATTGATGAGTTCCTTTCCATATGCATATGCGTAATATATAGTATTGGTTGAGGATGGAGACATGGAATCCCATCCACTTCAATCAACAGCCAAGGGTAACATGATTTCGATTGGATCTATATGTTTCCCTAGGAACTGTCCATGCAATGTCCCCTCCCACTGCAGCATCCCAACTGATGAAGTGATTTATATAGCATGTATAATCATAGAGTATCAATATTATAGTGTAAGCCTTCAGTCATTGTAAAGGGCAAAAACCATCCACACCCACCCTTCTTTATATGCTTAATCCCGTACCTAATACAAATTAATCATCTATGTGATTAGTCAGTTCACCTTACTTTGCAGGTCCCTCACATCATTGTTGTGTCCGAGCAGACAACATAATTTGTGACCTTGCATTTTGTTTCTATAATGTAGCAAAATGGTAAGTGTCGGAATAGGCGACTTCAATGCAATTTCTCGCCATCAGTGATTTCTCAACCCATATAAAAGTAATCCGCATTAGTGTATATTTAGGCATATTTAGGTTGACACCTTAATTTTCTCACACAAGAAAGAAAGTCAATACCTACTATTTAGCGTGTTTCCCATTTGTATCTATATACAGTTTTTCTCTTCTATTTCATGTGATATAATAATGAGATGGGATGACATGTTTGCAATCTTTGAGCTCACTTCCACTGTAGAACTAGGTTTCTACAAACAAGCAGGCAAAGATGAAGCCAACCGTGAACGTTTACTAAGTTTACAAGGACTAGTCAAATATACTCGGAAATCATATTTAGACTCCATGGTTTAAAAGACACAATAAGAAAACTACTAGTGAACTACTTGACACTAAGAAAATACCACTAAAAAACTGGAAGTGCACTGCAGAGGTAATAACACAAGACTTTCAAAATGATACCATAAAATGTGTCATTTAAAGGTTTTCGCAAATGTATTGCATTTGGTCATTTTCAAGTCTGTCTGTCTAATTTTTATATAGCAGATTGCTAAACCTTAAACTTTGAATTCCATGGAACTTTATTTTCCCTCGTCCAATCACAGGGTTCAGTTTTTTCACCATCATAGTGGACGTGCTACAAGACTTGGAGAAAATAAAAATCGAAATTTTAAAACATCCTTGTTCTTGAGTTATTAGCAATTATTCAAATGCATACCATAAAAGTTGGCAGAACTATTCAATGTCAATAACTTGAAATCCCATATTTTGCTAGTTTACTCATAGAAAGGCAGAGAAAACTACTAATTTATTTTTAAAACAGAAAATTCATTTGGGTAAATAGTTCATTCCTGAATGTCTCATAAAATAGTTCATTCCTGAATGTCTCGGAAATACTTTATTCAACGGACTCTATGAAATTAATAGCAAAGGATGCATTATGTTTCATGTAGAAAATATAAGATCTAATGCTAGCGGTTTAGGATGTTAAGGAGTGAAAGTCTTGTTTTGATCAATTGACTGAATAGGCCCTCAAGTCCTTCTTCTTGGTCCTGAATGCATGACTCCAGATTTTCAAGCTGATTTTGGGAATGAGATTTACTTGTCTTGAATGCAGCATCCACTACTGCAAATTCATTTACTTCTGTTTCTTCGTCACAAGCTACTTTTTTACATCGCATCCTCTTAGAGACCAATAACCAGTTGCTTGGTTTTCACTTTGGCCCGGAGATGGATAGTATTGATTCAAGCATTGTGGCAGTCAGGGAAGAGTAGGTGGACGGGTTTTTGATTCCGTTTGGATTCTTCAGACTTTTGTAATGCCTTTTTCACCATCTTCCTGGAGCTTAAGTATTTGTTCACTTCACTTGTGAAAGATCCAGTTTCACCTCCTTGCATTCTATGTATCATTAATTAAGGACCCAGTGCACATTCCTTAGTTTGCAAGACGACATCCTTGGTAGTGTTGCAAACATCCAACAGCCTAAGAGAGCCATCTAAATAGCTCATTAGTCCATTTTTTGTTCTGCTCTTGTGCCAGGGCTTCTTGTGCGAGCAGCAACTGAAGCAACTTCTCGACACAGTCATGCATGTCATGGAGGCCACTAAGCTTTAGGTTTATTGATGATGATGATGATGTGGAGGTGGGCCTCAGAAGACCTTAATCTACACAAATGCTTGTCAATTTCTTGAACAATTGGTCGGGTGTGGCCTATAGTGGAAGCTGTTAGAACGAGTGTAAAAGCCATTTTTCTCTGTGTTTTGTGAGAAGATAGAATAGAAAACCTTGAAAGTTTTGCTTGATGTATACTTCAAACTTGATGTGTTCTTTTCCATCTGCATCTGCTTAATGGGTAGTGTTGGTTGAGGGAAGTGGACATGGAATTTCATCCACTTCAATCACCACCAGTAAGAGAACACTATTTTGATTTGGATCAATATATACGTCCCCTAGGCCATTTTTTTGCAATGTCTCTTCTCCCACCAGTGTACGAACTCCATTTTGCATATAAAATCTCATAGTATGATTTCTCATAGTTTTGAAATAACAGCGATTGCACATTTTCTTGGCATGGGAGTTATGCAAATTGAGACAAGTATCTTCATTCACTAGAAGAAGTAGGTTTCATCCCTGCTCAAGAAATTTGGCCTACAACATAGCAAATTAGTAAGCATACCACTTGTTCCTAGTGAAAAGTTGAAAAAGGAAGATGGAAGTGGTGCTGCAGATGAAGCTGAGTACAGAAAAATTGTTGGCAGTCTACTGTATCTTACTGCAACAAGACCAAACATTATGTATGCAGAAAGTTTTTTGGCTAGATTCGTACGTTGTCCCTCTAACAAGCATTTCGGAACTGCCAAGAGAGTTTTAAGGTATATCCAAGGCACCTTGGACTTTGGTCTGGAGTATGTGAAAGGAAAAAAGCCTTGTTAGTTGGGTTCTATGACAATAATTAGAGTGGGTCTGAAGATGACATGAAAAGCACTTCAGGTTATGCTTTCACATTTGGAAGAAGAGTGTTTTCTTGGGCTTCTGTCAATCAACATTGTGTAGCTCCATCAATTGTAGAGGCAGAGTACATCAGTGCATCAGAAGCAACTTTATAGGCCACTTGACTTAGGTTCGTTTTGGAGGATTTTGGTGACTTTCAAAATGTGGAAATTCCTTTGAATTGAGACAATACATCAGCAATTGCCGTCACCAAAAATCCTATATCTCACCAAAAACTAAGCACATTAACATGAGGTATCATTAATTGATCAAGGAATCATTGTAGAAAGGTGTAATTGATCTGGTTTACTGTCCAACAAATGAGCAGCAAGCAGACATCTTTACAAAAGCCTTGCCCAAAGACCAATTCTATTGTCTGAGGAAAGTTCTTGGAGTGAAATCAGTGCACAATTTAAAAGGGAGTATTGAAATATAAATTGAGAGGAACCGTTCCCTATATCATTTGAGATTTTTGTACTCTAATTTTTTTAAGTACAAGTGTCCTTGTATTGGAGAGTAACTTAGAATGACTTATAAGCCTTAGTGGAGCCTTGTTTCTCAAGCTCATGGGCTATGAGAATAGAATGCTGAGATTGTTTTGAATTGTAATGGTTATTTTTTGTACTGGCATGCAGTCATATGCTTTGCGTGAAAATGGAATGAAAGACTACTCAAGAGTCATATTCTCTGAGCTAGATTTGCTCACTCTTCAGCTCCCTCGTCCATCCAAATTCTCTGTTTTTCTTCCGTTGTTGTTCATTGTTTCAATACCTTTGCTTTCCAAAAGCTAACAGCCATCCTTCATTTATTGCCAAGGAAACTTATTGGAAACGAAGATCAAAAGTCTTGTGGATAAAAGTGGGGGACTGTAACACCCATTTTTTCCACCAAAGAGTGAATATTTGGCAACATAAAAATACAATTGTCGGGCTATTGGATCAGAATGGGACATGGCAGAATAGTGACGGTGGTATTAAGAAAGTAATCATTGACTACTTCAAATCCATGTCTAGCTCCCAATCCAACCCTGTTTTCGGGAACTCAGAAGTAATTGATGCTATTGAGGGTAAGGTCACTGAGGAAATGGATCGTTAGCTCGTTCTTTCATTCACAGCTGAGGAAGTTAAGAATACTCTATTCCAAATGCATCCTAGTAAATCTCTTGGGCCCGATGGTATGCCTCATCTCTTTTTCAAAAAAATATTGGCCTATTGTTGGGACTGATGTGTCTAATGTAGTAATATTGATCCTCTCATCTGGACAAATGTTGAGGAAAATCAACTTTACGAATGTGGCTCTAATTCTGAAGCAGCCCCACCCTCAGGATGATACAACTACGCCCTATAAGTCTCTGTATGTGGTGTATAAAATTATCTCAAAAGTACTTGCTACAGGTTGAAGGTCTTGCGGCCCAAAATTATTTCACCTTTCCAAAGTACCTTTGTACCAGGTAGAGCCATTTCAGATAATACAATACTGGCTTCGAAATGGCTGTACTTGGTACAAAGGCACTTTGGCAAGGTGAAATAATTTTGGGCAGCAAAACCTTCAACCTGTTAGCAAGTACTTGGAATGTGTTATGCTGAAGCTGGGATTTAATACAAAGTGGGTGAATTTGATCATGATGTGCATCTCCTCAGGGTCATACTCGTTTATTGTCAACGGTTCTCCAAGGGGTTACATGCTACCATCCCGTGGTCTGAGACAAGGTGACCCTATTTCACCCTATATCTTATTGTGTGCCGAGGGTCTCTTGGCTATGATTGCACAGTATGTATGCTCGGATGCTATCCAAGGAATTTCAAACTGCCAGAATGCCCCGTCAATCCATCACATTCTCTTTGCCGATGATTGCTCTGTGTTCAAGCGAGCTCGTCGGGAAGATTGCCTGCTGGTGAAATCGATTCTTAACTCTTATGAAGACGCATAGGGTCAACAAGTGAATTTATTGAAAAGTGCAGTGAGCTTTAGTACAAACATTAGAAGGGGAAATCAGATATCGCTGGCTGACTTGCTTGGGGTGGAATGGGTGTATAGACATGAGAAGTACCTTGGGCTTCCTACCATTGTGGGTCAAAACCGAGGGGCTTGCTTTAATCATATAAAGGAGCGTCTCTGGAAAAAAACTCCACAGGTGGAAAGGTAAATGTCTGAATGCAACTGGGAAAGAGTTATTGGTGAAGGTGGTTGCCCAAGCAATCCCACTATACTAGATGTACTGTCACCTATTGCCGAAATACTTATGCGACAACCTGCATCAAATTATGGTTTCCTTGTAGTGGAATGATACAAGTAACTTTGAACGGATTCATTGGTTGGCTTGGGACAAACTTTGCGAACCAAAATCGAAGGGTGGGCTTCGGTTTCGTAACCTCGCCTTTAATCTTGGGCTGTTAGCAAAGCAAGGGTGGAAATTACTTGTGGAACCTCAATCTCTGGTGGCTAGGCTACTGAAAACTTTGTATTTCCCGCATTCCTCCTTTATGGATACGGTGGTGCGGCCGAATGCGTCGTTTGTATGGCGTAGCATCTGTGTGGGCTGAGAGATTATTAAACGGGGATCAAGATTGGCAAATTGGAGACGGAAGACGCACGCGAGTCTGGGGTGATAGGTGGCTGCCCTATCCCTCCACCTTCCAGGTTTCTTCACCAAGGCCTGTGAACAATCCCATATCTGTTATTCGCGACTTCATCACGGTTGATTTTTGATGAAACGTGGACCTCCTATTGTCGGTTCTTTTGAAGGAGGAAGTAGACCTTGTGCCGTTTATTCCTTTGAGAAAGCGCCCAATGGAAGATAGAATCATCTGGCATTGTGACAATAAAGGGAAATTCACCGTCAAAAGTGCTTATCATGTTTCTAAGAACTGAATTCTTCCACCTTCTCTGGCTGCTTCCTTCTTGACACCAAGTTGTCCCTTCGATGGTCTTTGGGAAAAACTTTGGAAGGCCGACATTCCACCTAAAGTTAAAATGATAGCCTGGAGACTTGTATCTAATATCGTTCCAACGACAGCCAATCTTATTCGCAAACATATTCCGGTTGATCCTCATTGTACTTTATGTGGGTCAGAGGGTGAGATTACGTGTCATTTTCTGCTAGAGTGTTTGTTTGCTTGAGCGGTTTGGATTTCCTCTCCTATGGGTGCTTTCCAATTTCCTTTGGTCGATGAATTTGCAGTGGATTGGGTGCTCCGAATGGCACAAACTTTGAATCAGGCCAACTTCGATGGGATTCTGATGATGATTTGGGCTATTGGATCAGCTAGGAACTTGAAGTTCTGGGTGGAGATTTTGAATCTTATGCCTAATATCGTGGCTTGCTGTGCTTTTAATTGATGATAGGAATTTTTAAAAATCACGTCCAAACCTCCAGCTCCTACTTGCCTGATTATCTGTCCGCGATGGTCCAGGCCACCTCCGGGATATCACAAGGTTAATGTGGATGGTGCGTAGAGCTATAACTCTGAGGTTAGGGGTGCGGGAATTGTGATTAGGGACTGTATGGGTGGAGCTGCAACGAGGAATTTTGCTGATGTTTTTTCACCCGTCCAAGTGGAGGCATTGGCCATCTGTGTTGGGCTTGAGCTGGTGGTTGAAAGGGGAATTCATAATGTTGTCTTTGAGAGTGATTCTCTCCGGCTCATTTTGGCCTTGAATGTGTCTTCTGTGAATTTGTCTCATGTTGGGCCAATCATCGAGGATAGTCACTGCTTCTTTTAATCACTGGAGCTACAGCTTCCCATATCCACCGCCAAGGCAACTATGTTGCTCATAGGTTAGCTCGCTTTGCCATCCATTCGGATGGTGAGTGTACTTGGTTTGTTCACCCTCCAATCATTGTAATACAAAATGCCGTCTTTTACTCAAAAAAAAAAAAAAAAAAAAAAAAAACACCTCATCACAATTATGGTGATCAACGATTCATTAAGCAGGGAGAAGACAAGCTATGTAATATGCATGAACTTAAAAAATGGTAAAGTGGCAGACTAGATGAACTGGATTGCTCCCCAAACAGAGAGAACACGAGCACAATTTCCATTATAAATAGAAGTGTTGCCATGTGATTTTAGTTATTTAGTACGTCCTGTTGATTTGCTAGTTTTTACCTTCATTAGACAGCGCGAGCATTGCAATTGTAATTTGTGCCATCCTTCTTTTTGATCCAGAGAGAAGTTAATTTAGTTGAATCTACATTTCGTTCTACTGATTTAGCTTCTTCCACTGTTCCGCGGCATGCCCGCATCTGCATAATCTACAGAGAAGACTCCCGGGGGAACAAAGAGAATCTCTCAAACCTTCTCCCATACAAAATGGTTTTGATTTGAAATTGATATCTCAGCAATGTCTCCCCATCCCTAGCATCTTAACTCATAACCAATTATTTTTACATGTAAAATCATATCGCTAAGCATCTGAGTCGTCCATACCATATTATATTTTAAACAATGCTGATAAAATAAACAAGGGCACGAGTGGATTAAAACCGTTTCCTCATATCCACGAAAGGCGATACGTATTCTTTAGCGCCTTCCCCCATGTATATATTTATACATTTTCTTTTGTCTCTTCTATTTCATGCAGCAGAAATAACAGTGTGTTACTCGTCTGCACGTGTAAAAAAATATGTTTCAGTGTTATTTGCGCTGCAATCCATGATATTAGATCTATAAATACGGCTGAGGTGAACTTTCGTGTCGATAATCAATTAATTTATATTAAGATGTCATTATTCACTACTTGTCACAGAAAACTTCCTAGAGCGTCGATGTGAAGTTCCTGCAATCTTCATATCTGGTTGTGTTTACTGTATGCACCAACTAGCCAAAGAACCCCACAACTTGGGCAAATTTTATTCACATTTCACCAACAAGCAATTTAAATAAGTTCCACATTCAACCAAGAATACATGCAAGAAAAACTTTGACTGATGAAAAATCACGTGGATTTTATGGATTTCAAAATGATTGTATTTCAAGAAGGTAGCAACATCATATCTTGACACCTCTTTTTAATTAGTCACTATTATTTTTCTTGAAACGTTTTTTAAGTTTCTATTTTGTTAATAAAAAAAACATTTAGAGGCAGGAAAAAAACTTACATGATGCACTGACACCAAAGTTTTGGTGTCCCAAATTATCATGCGACGATGCTATTTGAAAAAGTTCAAATACACAGTGACACTTGATATGTTTGCCTGCATCGGCGTCTCTAATTTCATGCAAGGCCCTCTTTAGATGCTGAGCTAGCATGCCAAATTATCCTGTTGTCCTTCTAACTGAAAGACAGCTAGGATACGCTTGGTGCTTAAATTATGTGAGATGAATAATAGCATTAGTTGACTGTTTATTATTACCTATTATCTCCCTTGAGACAAGTTTGGAATCTTGACAGCCTTGAAACTTCATATAATTTGCTTAAAGAAATCCCATATGATCTCAATCGAAATCTCGAAATCTCCTAAAACTCTAACTCTCTCATAAGCTAAATGAAAGAACATAATTGACTTAATTGTAGTTACGAGAGCTTCTGTTGCCGGGGATAATGATAGCATTAGTTAACAAAGCTTTTGATAGACCTACAGTTAATTATTTTCATCTTTTAATTGGACTAAAAGGACGTTCTTTTCTAAATCAATTTTACTACATTGATACCATGCACAGCACCGTAATTGAAAAATTGAGAAGGCAAACCGAAGATTAATGTTAATTTTAGAGCTTGCATGAACTCATGATCCAAAAAATAATGCTTTTAAAGAGAGAACAAGAGCAGTGGAAATTTAAGCAAAAGAGTATATCATTTTGTATTAGAAATGACAATACATGTATATTTCATTCATGTACAAGGATCTAGCTTCTAGGGCAACAAAAATCTGGATATTCATGATAGTGCAGCCAAAGTTTTACAATTAGTTGCTGAGAGTATTAAGAAGGGAAACTCTATTTTTGATTAATCGCCTGAACAGACCTTCGAGTCCTTCTTCAAGATCCTGACTGCACAGTTCCAATTGTTGCAGCTCTCTTTGCACATTCTCACTGTCGACCACGTTGTCAGATTTGCCTGCCTCTTGACATAAAAGGGAGTTCAGTGCAGCATCTACATCAGCAAACTCATTTAAATCGGCTTGATCTTCTTCATCACAAGCAACCTTTTTGGTAAGCATAAGCTTTGAAACGAAAGACCAGCCACTCATCTTTGATTGTGACTTTGCTCCGGAGATGAAGGACAAAAGGGACTCGAACACTGTGAGAGTGACTGCTTCAACCTCTCTCAACGCGCCAATTAAGGCCACGGCTACATTGTCTTTGTTCGTGGAAGAGAAGGTGCCTTTCTTCTGAGAACTCCTCAAAGTCCCCAGGGCCTTGCAGATAGCCTTCTTGACCACCTTCCTTGAGGCTGAGTATTTCCTAACCTCGTTAGTGAACCCGCTTATGCCTCCCCTTCTTCTGCGCATGATCGATTGAATTTCACGTACGCATTCCTTTGTGTGTATCAAGGCATCTTTGGCTGCTGTACACACATCCAAGAGCCTAAGAGAACCATCCAAAAGCTCATCCACCCATTTCTCATTTTGCTCCCGGACAAAAGCTTCTTGGGTGAGGGGCAACTGAAACAACTCATTCACACAGTTGTGCAAATCCAAAAGGCTACTCAATCTGTGGCTTATCGATGATGATGAAAACGAAGAGGAGACATCAGAAGCTGCTATTCTCAACAAATGATCTTCACATTGTTGAAATAGCGGGTGTGGTTTTGAAGGCAAGCTGATCGAACGAATATGGTAGTTGGATTTAGAGTTTAAAGATGAGGCTGAAGCCATTTTTTTTTTCCTTTGCTAGCGAGAGAGAGAGAGAGAGAGAGAGAGAGAGAGATGGCTTTGAAAACTTGAAGTTCAGTTTAGCAGTTTGAAATTTGCTTATGCTTTCCTTCGACACCTACTATACATATATAATGGGGCATACAAAGACTCAAAAGGGTAGGGAGACATAAAGCATCTTATCCTATCACATGTCAACGAGCTACAGCATGATTTCGATTTCGATCTAAGACACTATCAGCGGTGTTCATGCAATGTTCCCCAACACCAACACAAGCTCCAACTCATTACCCAATTAATTTAACTCGATCATAACTCATATCTCCAAGTCATTAGCCAGTGAGACTTGCTTCATGTGCAAAACTAGTAGTTAGTGATGGGGCCGCACGAGGGGCCATGGTTTAAATATTGCAAAATTCAAATTTGCATTGTGTAATGTGAATTATTTAGAGAGGAACGCAAAGATAAAGCCTCTCAGTTAGGCATGCCTACCTCTCCAGAAGACAAAAGGAGGCCGCTTCACGCTTGTGCACACGTGAATACCTTTTGGAGCCGGCCCACTGTACACATTTACGCCATTGATTACGATTACCTGTCAATCCTCATCATCACGTGTAGTTTTTTGGTTATACAGCAATGCTCGTTTTATCTTTTCCGGCTCCCAAATTTTTAATATTTCATGCATGGCTTATGGGGTCAAGTTAAAATTTCACTTTTTGATGATTGGGTTATGATAGATATTTTGTAAATAAGACAAATGACTGCTTTTTGTAATCAACTTGATAAATGGATTGCCGAAGAGAAGTTCTAAATTTTGGGTGTACTTTTGCTACTCACTCTTTTAGACTTTTGTCACTCACTCTTTTAGACTTTTGTCTGCTAAATATAGCCATAGTTAACTCTTTTATTATTTTGCCCTCCCTGAGTTAAGAAAAGTAGAACGGGTATAATAATTAAACCCAGAAGCATGTTAGAGTATATACTCAAGTCATTAAAATTATGACATCTGTCAATGTGCGAAAGGCTAGATTACAAGAGTTGGTTAGTTAGTTAGTCCAAGTTGTATGGAGTTAGAAGATAAGGATAAGATTGTAACAAAATCTTACACTAGATATATGTGTGATTGTATTGATCTGATTTATTAAGGGAAATATATGCAAAGATTTCTCTCTTTCTCTCTCTCTCCCTCTCTCTCTCTCTCTCTATCTATCTTCTTCTTCGATCTTCTTCTTCATAATTCTATCTAATCTTCTCTGTTCTATATTAAGCTTTGTAGTACTATGGTTAACATGGTGTCAATCGCCCGAGTAGCTTAGACAGCTTCTTCGATTCTGGTTTTCTGTGCTTCTGCTTAATCTTTCATCTCTCTGTGATTTTCTGGGTGTTTCTCTTCCTTCCTCACTTCTTCGCTTCAGTTGGGTGGTTCTTGCGCACCAAGAGTTTGGTTTGATTCCTTAGCGAAAATTCTTCACAATGGTTACTGCTTCTCAACTGCAAATCTTGTAGTCTCTGATTAATAGGTTGATTTCTTTTGTATCCTCCTCTGTGTCGGTTAAGTTGGATGATTCCAACTATCTTCAATGGCATTTTCAGATGCAATTGTTGGTTGAAGGTTATGGGATCATGGGCTTTGTTGATGCTTCGACTTGCTGCCTGCCTCAATTTTCGTCTATTTCTTCCAGTGATTTTGAAGTTTCATCAATGGGTATTGGTTCAAGAATTGAGTCAGATGATTACAAAGTGGAAGATGCATGATAGGGCTCTTATGTAGCTTATTACTACAACCTTATCGTCTGTAGCCATTTCCTATGCAATTGGGAGTACCAGTGCTAGAGATTTATGGGTTCGTCTTCAAGAACATTTTTCCATTGTTAGCAAGACTTCAATCTTTCAACTCAAGTTTGATCTTCAGACTATCAAGAAAGGGGCATATTCTGTCACTCAGTATCTTCAACGGATTAAAGAAACAAGGGACTGTCTTGCAGCTGCAGGGGTTAATTTTGAAGATGAGGACATTGTTATCTTGGCTTTGAATGGTTTGCCTACGAAGTATAACACATTTCAATGTGTAATTCATGGTAGAGAGAATGTGATTCCTCTTAAAGAATTTCGTGCTCAGTTACTTGCAGATGACTGTTATCCGCTACCTTTCCTAGATATATACAACCTTTGTATATGCCCTCTATGATAAATGCTTCTAATATGCCTTCTATGATGCATATGGTCTCTCCTAATATGTCCTCTTCAATTGGTACACCAAATCTCAACTCTTCTACACATATGGCAAGTTCTCAGGCATATGCCCCTACTCATATGAATGCTTCTACTTCCTATGCTCCTGCCATGTCCAATTCTGCCTCCCCACAAGTTTGGTTGATGGATTCCAGTGCAACCAATCACATGACAAATGATCTAAGCAATTTGTCTCTGACCTCTCCATATCCACATAATGAGACTGCTCAAATTGCGAATGGGGAAGGTTTGCAAGTTTCTCATATTGCGAATTCACTAATTCGACCATCTTCACAGTCTTTCAAATTGAATTATGTTCTTTACATTCCCAAATTGTCTCATAATTTGTTTTCAATTCATAGAATATGTCTTGACAACAACTGTTGGTTAATAGTCAATGCTTATTGTTTTTGGATTCAAGATAAAATCACAAGGAGAATCTTGTATAAAGGGCTATGCAACAATGGACTGTAACTAATTCCTTCTTTTCCTGGCTTATCAGTAGGTTCTTCACCTCACCTACAAGCTAATCAAACTATTTCTCTTCTTGGACATATTATGAATTCAACCTTATGGCATTGCAGACTAGGTCACCCTTCGAATCCCATAGTCTCTCTTATACTTAGAAAGTCTAAAGTTGCTATTAAACCAGATGTGTCACCTATTGTTTGTCAGAGTTGTTTAGAAGGCAAATTTAGTAAACTTCCTTTTTCTTCTTGTAAATACGAATTTTCCTGACAACGAACGAGATAAGAACACGTGTACAAAGTAATATTTTGTATTAATGATTTTGGGGTTACAATCTTTGTAATTTGGTCCTCTGATTCGATCTCTGTAAGATGTTGGTTTGTTGATGTGTTGTTGATCCAAGGGCTGTCGAGGCTTGATCTTGGATGAACAGTTGGAAGTTTCTTCAAGGGTCATCGGGGCTTGATCTTTGAATAACGGTTGTGCGGATTTCTTCAAGGGTCGTCGGGGCATGATCTTTGAATAATGGTTGTGTGGATTTCTTTAAGGGCCATCGGGGTTTGATCTTGAGTTGGTGGAAGTTCTTCAAGGGCCGTCGGGGCTTGATCTTGAAGGAGGATTTGACGAAGAATGAAGAGGGCTTTCTTAATTCTTCGGAATTTTCTTGAGAGCTTTAAAGTTTCAAAGCTTCAAGGTTTTGGTGTCATGTGAATTGGTGAAATGAAATGAATAAAATTGGCTTCTATTTATAGAAAATTTCAAGGCCTAATTTTGAATATAATATTCAAATGAAATCAATCATTTCTGCCAGGTGTTGCCACATGTCCTATTTGATGACTTTTCCGATTCATTTCAATTTTTTGTTGAGTCACACGCTACGTGTAAAATTTATGTGACACGTGAGCATTGAAATTTTATTTATTGGTTAACATTCATTTCACCGAAATTTAGATGTCTACAAATGCCCCCACTTCAAGGCGCGTTGCATACATGTGCTTGTCACGTGTTGGAGATGCATTTTGAAGTCCCTTAATGTAGATGTCGATCCAAGGGCTGTCGAGGCTTGATCTTGAAATGTACTGGAAATTTCTTCAAGGGCTTTTGAAGCTTGATCTTGAATTGGGCTGAAAGTTTTTTTTCAAGGGCCGTTGAGGGTTGTTCTTGAATTTTGTTTGAAATTTCTTCAAGGGCCGTCGAGGCTTGATTTTGAATGAAATTGGACCACAAGGAGCTTCACATGGTAGATCTTTGTGCTTGTTGACTTTCCACAGCTTTGATCTTGAACGGGGTTGGAGGATTTTCTGGTTTCCTCTAATCGTTGACTTTCCACAAGCTCATTCTTGAACTGGGATAAGGGGTTTCTTCTGCTAAAGTAGCACCAAATGTTTGAATTTACTCCTTTTATCTGGAGCTGAACTTGATTTAAGGGTGGTGGACATTTGATCTTAAACAAGACTTGTGATTTCTTTAAGGGCCGTCGAGGATTGATCTTGAATGAAATTGGACCACGAGCGGTCTCACGATTCGGACACATGGCAGGCAAGCGCGAGGTGAAAGTGATGGCCTGTTTATTTGTTCAATCTTTCCAATTCATATTGAAGAGGGTTAGGAGATGAATCGGCATGTGTTTTGTTGTGCTTGTCTCCATATGCTTCAATGTATCATTTTTGCTTGCCTCATTTGTTCTCCAGGCAGATGTGGTATCTTTTGCTACCTTGTCTATTTCCCCAGCAGAGCGATGCTAGGTAAGCAATCAGGGAAGGGTTCCAGGCAGTCGGTTCCTGACTGGAAGTTTGACTTCAAGTTTCGAATTATTGCTTTCTTTCTCTTTATCCTGCAGGTAAAACCAAGTACAAAGAAAAGGACAGGGAAAAAACACGATATGAGAAACTCTTGCTTTCGAAGAAGTAGTGGTGATTTGACAGCATTGCACATCGAGGCTTTGCTCTTTGGCGATGGTGCCAATGAAAGGTTGTTGAAGCTTTTTGAGCTCTTTGATTAGAGCAACGATGCTGAGCTGTGTTTTAACTTAAACTCCTCTATCTGGATTATGCCATTCTGCAGGGAAGGACGTCGTGCTATAGTGATCTGTTCCAGCTCATCATTGATCCTTATGCTTCAATCTTTTGCCGTATTTGTTCCTGATGCAGGAGTTGAATGCACCATTTGCATTTAAATGGTGCTTCAGAACATTACTTCTCAGCGACGATGAGTACTCGAGAGCAATGCAAGGTAAGCAACCAGGCAAAGGTTCCAGGCAATTAGTTCCAGGTCGGAAGTTTGATTTCAGGTTCTGACTGATTACTCTCTTTCCCTTTTTCCTGCAAGTAAGAGCAAAGGCAAAGGAAAAGACAGGGAAAAAGCATGATATGAGATACT